GGGGGGGGTGTGGTGTGTGTGTGTGCGTGCGTGCAGGGTTGAGGAAGCTGGTAACATTGAGAGCAACTGCAGTGTTGTGCATAGAAATACACATCAACTGCTGCTGGCTGGGCCAAGGCACAGCTGACTTTATGTTTGCTGCTACTTCCAGCAGACAAGCTTCTGGTGATCACAAAGCGTTCAGGGGAGCTATGCTGTGCTGCTAACCCACATGTGCCTGCTGGCAACTGGAGGTTGCATTTAATTGGGCAAGGCCTAAGGAAAGCAGAAGCACTAAAGAGCGAGACTCAGTCAATGTTTCACACACACACATACAATCTCCTCCTCAAGTAAGATGATGAGAGAGGCGAGGCCAAGAGCCCTGTGTGATGCTGCAGCACTGGGAAGCTACAAATGAGCCCACCAAAGCTGGCACACCAGAAGAGATGGCAGGAAGAAGTGGGGTCATAATACACTTTGTTGTTTGTGAGTAAAGCTGTTGCTAAATGAACAACGGCTCTGAACTTCCTAAGCGAAAACTGAAACCCATCCATGTCAGAGTCTCCAGCAAAGGTCTTTTATTAACAAGTGGGAGATGCTCCTGATGCCATGAGCCTGTACTCAGTTTGCTGGCGAGATGAGCCTGAGCTTTGGGTTCGGAGAAGCCAGTGACAGCGATGACAGCCCGGCCCCGCGAGCCGGGCCTGGGGCTGCGCCCGTTCCTGCCAGCACCTCTCATCCCCACCAAAGGCAGGTGCTGATCCCTGAGCCTCACTGGCAGTGCCACAGGAGGAGCTGGGCATCCACGCGCGCACACATACACGTGCAGAGCCCCTGGCCTGTTGCTAATGGAGTTAGACAGGGAGAGAGTGAAGCATGTGACTGTGCAACCACAGAACCCAAGGCAGCTTTTCTTCCGAGCACAGGACAGGAATGAAACGGCATGGGCATGAGGAGATGCCTACTGCCCACTGCAGCTCCTGATGTCCCCTGGCAGCACAGCTGGACTTCAGACTCCCTCTTTGCTGAAGCCCAGGGCACACTGTCCAAGACTGAGGCGATGCAAAAAGAGGATGGATGGCATTATTGGAGAGTTGAGAGGCTTCAGAAGAATCAAGTGGCAGAAACAGTCCCTCATGTTGGCCTGGATGCACTCAAGAGCTCTTCAGTTTTGATAACAACTTACTATTGAATTACTGCTGAGGGGCCCACACCAGGTACCACCACACTCTGAAGAGACACTTCACATTCTGCACATGAACAAACAGCAATAGAAAAGTTATCCCCCCGCCTTACAGCCAGAAAGGCAGAGAAAGAATATTTATTTTATCTATCTAGCCAAAATAAAGCTGCCTGTTTGCACCCAGTCAGCTCCCTCAGAACCTTCAGCCTGCTCCTCCCGATGGTCTCTGGAGAGCAG